GAATAGGGAAAGAAATCTGGAACTAGAGAGGATTGTGTGGGAAATGGCATTTTCTATTGTAGCGGGATCCCATATGACGTAGGTCGAGAAGCGGAAGTCGGAATGCAGGTCAGCGCATCAGGGAAGCCCAGGGTCAGGGAAGCCCCTGTGCCTCAGGCTCTGATACCTCTGCTTTCAGTGTGCTGATTTTGCCAACGTTGCACCTAAAATCAACGAGAGATGAGTACTCATCTATTTGGGACACTTTACAGGAAATGGACCCGTAACATTGCATAAAGCAGCACCGTGCTAATTTTTTTTCACCGAAAATTCACTGCGTGAAACATCAATTTGAATCCTGGCGAAGTCCTTGTCCTCAATTCGCGTACATTTAGTTCTGCCCGCAGCTTTTATAAATATGCTTAACCAGAGAGTCTGTGCATCTGCAGCCTCCACAGGAAGCATCGACCACCCCCAATCCAACTTAAAGTTAATGTGGTGTTTTCTGTGAACTGGTACACTCACTCACCTTGAATGTGTTTATTACATTGTCGTCGTCGTCAATAAACTGCTTTTCGGACTCATCCTGAAATGGTCACGCGGTTACTTCAGCAGACGTTCATCGAAATGTAAGAAACGGTACCTTGACCAAAAAGTTTTTCCTCTGAATTCCAGCACTCTCCAGCATCCTCCGAACGAAAATAAGCTGATCAGCACGAGAGTACAGTTTACGCAACCAAAGACAGAAGTTCACCAAAGTCATCTGAGATAATAATACTTGATGATGACAGGTTTTTGTTCAGAGTGTCACTTACAGGACTTTCCGTAAGACTCGTAAGGTATAATGGAAAGTCTTATTCAGTACTCAGTCGCAGGCCTGGCGTAACGGTGGAGATGTGGATCAAATGGGTGGGGGTGAGATGGGAAAGGGGATGGGGACGTTCCTGGCTCTCCTTTCCTCCCTTGTAGAAAAGGTCTTTCGTGCCTGTAACTCCTTGAAAAGAACAGTCCATGATGGACCAGAATTATGTGAGAGATCACAAGGGAGAGGTAGTGGGACCCGCGGTACACAACCTCATACCATTTTCTCGGCGGGAAGTTGTACCGGTAAGGACGCTAAGGTGAGACATTCCATTGGCACCTCCGCTTTCCAGCCGCTTCAACCCTTGGCCTCAAGAGTCACCATCCAGTGAACAGCGACGCTACCATACGAGTATCAGGAAATGGAAGCATCATTGGCGCTTGTAGGGTCATAGGGCTCACTATAAGGAATCACAGGATTCGTCCCAGCACACGGTCTTCGCTTCATTCTGGTCCAACTGACTGAGGCTAGAAGGGCCCACTTAGGGGCGCTCACGAGCTTCCCTTTCAGTTTTTTCTCAACAGACAAGTCCCTTGGCATGTTGTCTTCTACATTTCTACATCACTACCTATGCTCCCTAGTACGGACGTGGCAAATATTGTAGTGCGATGGCTGCTTGGCCGGCAAGGTTGCAAAATGAGCTATTTCACCCTCTCAGGTCCTTGAAAACGACGGTTTGTCAGTATTCCCACAACCCTAGCAAAAATAGGAGCGCGAGGCCTTACATCAATGAACAGAGTCGTTATGGTATGGCAAATGTGAAAACAGAAGAATAAAACTTGGACAAAAGCACAATGATAAGAAGTGTAGCTGGCACTCAACAACGAACAGGTAAATCAACGCAGTAAAACAGCACTAAGAAAATCTTTTCGTTGAACATATTCAACGACAGCACACATTGCACAGAATATCTCTGCAGATTTCCTTTATTTCGCACCTAAAATATATCTTGTTGAGAAAATCCAGTAAAAGAAAAAGGGCTGCGAAAACAATCGACCTCAAAGTCCCGCACATGGTCGATCTGGGGACAATCGCAGTTTGGCTTTTCAAGTTCGGCTGTTGAACCGCGAGGTTTCAGGTCTGAGATGAGGAGGTGGCAACACCTCTGACACTGTAACACCAATGGAAGAGATAAGCCTTTCGTCGGCATTGATCGATCCATTTTGAAAATGGGCCAAGTATTGAATTATATTCCTTGTTCTAAGTGTAGGGGTTATTTAAATGTTATTTGGTCTACACAATCACTTGCAGGGGCTAGCCAAAGTAAGAGGGAGTGCTCGGATGTTCCCAGACTAGTTTGGTACCTATCACCCCGAGGGGAGAAAGTTTCGATTGGCTCCGGCGGAAGTCGAACCAGGATCTGGTCCCCAAGTCGTGCATGTGATATTCAGAGCCACTTGCCGTACCGCACTTTTCGCCTCCTCTAACCCTATGAATAGAGAAATACATTTCGGAGCTATTTCGCTTCTAACAAAATAGCCCCGTTCGAAAGTCTGGTATGAGTGCACAACCGGTATGTTCCATTACCCACCGTCAGGGTAGGTGCTGCTGTTGGGGGAAACTTTGTAGAAAAAAAAGCTACCCCCATCACCCCTCAACTCCATCCGGAGATTACTTGCCATATTCCTTGATTTCCCATTTTCTCCGCTTCCTTCCTTTTTTCCAAAGCACATCCTACCTCGGACGACACGCAGCTAGTGTTTGTAAATGGAAGTATGTGATCTACATGCACGGATTTTTCAGATAGGCGAGATAGTCTGGGGATCGTCCGCGATAGGATGGTAGGAATGTGCTGCCTTGGAGAGCATTTTTCTCCAAAAAATCCCGTCGAGCGAGAGTATATAGCGCACTTCAAAAAGAGAAACTGAGAAAACATAGCAAGCAAAAACGTTCTTCTCAATGAAAAATACGACCCCCAATCATTCCAGCGACTAAATACGACCCCTCCCTCCTCGCTGGGGATTCCCAGCGTGCCTTGCCCACCACAGATACCAACCAACACATGTAGGGTTGGATACCTCTACCCAAAATGTTTTCCCCAGATGATGTAAATAAAACGAAGTTATCCAACCAGTATATCTGTCACCGAGTTCATCTTATGAGGTTCGTTGCCCGAGATAGTGCTGCTCTTAGTTCTCGTGGAAATACTCACGTAGAAGGTCTCCCCAGTCGAAACCAAGGAAATAGTGAAGGATGAGAATTTGTAAGGCGGCATTCACGACGAACATAAGTTTCATCAAGATGTAATTGAACGACATCCATCCATCAACCATCAGATTCCTGCAAAGATCATCATCATCACTTGTTCTTCGTAAACTAGTAAGCACAACAACTCACTGCCAAAGACTGCCGACGTTTTTATAGTTGCGATGATGAGTGGCGCGATAAATGTGATTTGCGATTTTCTCGATCCTTCTTGTCGTTTCTAAATTTGAAAAATGTAACAGGCTACTCCTGTTATAGTCAAAGCTATAACTTGTCACCGTATGCGCACTTTGGTGTTGTTGCAGTACACACGCTTTTTTTTACTACTGAGGAATTGGACTATTACACCTCACTCCATAACCGGGGTTCTGCCAACTCTCCATTATAGCATATTCGCGAAACAGGCTAGTTTTTGACCGTCTTTTTTCTGCCTTGGCAGAATTGTTTGAAAATTCGTCTCTTGGGTAGTTCGATCTCCTGAATATGAATATCACATCCGCTAGGCACGAAACCTCCTGACGCCCGCCCCACCAGGCGCCGCCTGCCAAAATACTCAAATTACAAACTTCACTGAAACACTTGTTACTGGACCTCTGACGAATATCACATCCGCTCTGCCTGAAACCTCACTTCCGCCCGTGCTACAGGTGCTGGCGCCGAACTGCCCCAGATCACCGGCGCCTGTGGCGCGGGCGCCGAGGTTTCGGGCTAAGCGAATGTCATATTCGTATTCAGGAGGTCAAAATACCCCAGGAGACAACATTTGAGCCAAATCTGTCCACGGAGAAAAAAGTCGGTCAGAAACTGGCTCAATTCTGGATGGTTGGGGCAGTAAAGGGTAAATAGTAAAAATTTTCTAGAGGCAAGTTCAAGTGGTGGTCGTAGGGGCGCAGCCGGGCATAGAGTTGCGCCTTCCCTAATGGTGCGGCATACAATTATAGAATGAGCGAGGAATGACGAAGGTGATGGGAAAGACACAACAGTGACCGGTCCCACGGTCTGCACGACCAGCGGAAATGTGTCTGTGTCGGTGTCAGTACGAAAGATGCTGTAGAAACTTTCGATTACTGCTGTTCCAAAAAGCAAAGATCCTCACCACGACGTCCTCCTTTGGTAACTCACAGCAGGCCTTGACAATGGCTCGCAGCTGAATTCCTGAAATATTCCATAATCATTACAACGTACAGCCATGATCCCTGTCAACCATAGAGCGTGTGAAAGGACGCGAATTAGTGCACGGCCAGGATAGCTTTCACCGCCTATTCCTGCAGACTTAGCATGGCATCACTGGTGGGAGAAGCCATCCTGGCTGCGTTCCAATCCACGCCTCGTCACACGCTCCTCGTTCTGGGGACGTGACTGGACGTATTATAACACCTAGTAGGAGTGTCGCTCTCCAGAGATTCTTTTTTGGAAACTTCGTTCATTCTATGCACAACTGTCTGTATAGTGTAGTTCGCTGCGGACGGTTGGGCGTGTCAGGCGGGATGAGTTTGGCGCGGTGCCAAACCCGTTCTCCACCAGTTGTTAAAGCGAGCAAGTGATATGACTGTATCATATCGTTCGTATTACTCGTTTTCTACCACTTTTTGTCGCATGCGCGCTTCAACAAGAAGGCAGAGAACGGCTTGACGGCGGCGTGACACACTCACTGCCTGACACGCCCAACCGTCCGCAGCGAACTAGAGTGTATGTCAACTGCATTTACTGCCTGTCCTTTCCAGTTAGCAGTTACGGTAATCTAAGTTAATGGTTCCGTCCTCTTTCCCCTCATGTCTACTCTGGGCAAGTGACAGTGCTAAATGTAGAGGGTCTTGTAGTAACTGGAAGCGTCATGGCATAGCTGCAATAAGGCTTTGAAAATAAGGTCAAGAGTCACTCGGACCAGCCCTGGTGTTCGTTGCCT